GCAGCCGTGGGGGCTGGGCTGGGTTGGGTGTTCTCCTCCAGCCGGCGTCGGCGTGTCAACGCCTCGTTAGGCCCTAATGACCCGCTGCTCCGCTCTCGCCCTTCCAGGTGGAAAAGGTTCACACCTTTCTGGATTACATCATGGGCGGGCTGCAGATCTACTTCTCGGTGAGGCGGCGGGGCAGGGCGGGGCGGGGAGCGGCCGGGCCGGGGGCCCCCCCACCTCCCGCGCAGGTGGCGATTGACTTCACGGCCTCCAACGGGGACCCGCGCAGCGAGCACTCGCTGCATTTCATCAACCCCAAGGAACCCAACGAGTACCTCAAGGCGCTGTCCGCCGTGGGCGAGATCTGCCAGGACTACGACAGGTAGGGGCGCCCCCGAGGCCTGGGTTCCGTCCCCCTTGCTCCCACAGGGGAAAATTACCCATGAGGCATTGCTCCCGAAATCCCACGCTTGCAAACTGCCCGCCCAAAGCTCCCCGTGTTTCCCACAGTGCTCTGCACAAGTCAAAACTACCCACAATCCTTTGCTCCAGATTCCCGCTCTCCCAAGCTACCCACAATCCTTTGCACAAGTCCCGCCCTTGCAAACTACCCACAATCCTTTGCTTCACATTCCCACTTGCTCAAGCTACCCACAATCCTTTGCTTCAAATTCCCGCTCTCCCAAGCTACCCACAATCCACCCACAATCCTTTGCTTCACACTTCACATTCCCGCTCTCCCAAGCTACCCACAATCCTTTGCTTCACATTCCCACTTGCTCAAGCTACCCACAATTCTTTGCTTCAAATTCCCGCTCTCCCAAACTACCCACAATCCTTTGCACAAGTCCCACCCTCGCAAGCTACCCATAATCCTTTGCTTCACATTCCCGCTCTCCCAAGCTACCCACAATCCTTTGCTTCACATTCCCACTTGCTCAAGCTACCCACAATTCTTTGCTTCAAATTCCCGCTCTCCCAAACTACCCACAATCCTTTGCACAAGTCCCACCCTCGCAAGCTACCCATAATCCTTTGCTTCACATTCCCGCTCTCCCAAGCTACCCACAATCCTTTGCTTCACATTCCCGCTCTCCCAAGCTACCCACAATCCTTTGTGGCAGCCAATTACCCACAGCCCTTTGCCTCGGAGCAGCAAATAACCCCGCACCCTTTGCAACAGTCTTCCCATCCCAGGTACCCCCCAGGGGCTGGGGTACCGGTCCGTGGGGCCGAGAGCCCGTCAGGACCTCCCCCGCCTGGGCCCCTCTGCCGGTCGGGTGCGTTGGCGGGACCCCAGGCGCACCCCACCCTACGTCTCACTCGCTCTCTTCCAGCGACAAGAAGTTCCCAGCCTTTGGATTTGGGGCGCGGATCCCCCCGAACAACGAGGTACTTTGGGGGTGCTGGGAGGGGGAGGGGAGAGAGTTTCTGTCTGAGCCGGCGTCTCCTTTTCCCCAGGTCTCCCACGATTTCGCCATCAACTTCGACCCAGACAACCCGGAGTGCGAACGTAGGCCCCCCTCTCTCTCTCTTCGTTAGCGAGGGTCGTTAATGAACCTGGGCCACGCCCAGCAGACCCTGACTAGGCTCCTGGCTCCCGGCTCCAACCGCTAGACCCCCCGACCCCTCGGTGCTGGGAGAGACCCCAGGAGTCCTGGCTCCCAGCCCCTCTGCTCTAACCACTAGCCCCCTCTTCCGCCCGCAGGGATCTCGGGGGTGATCGAGGCCTACAAACGGTGCCTGCCCCAGATCCAGCTGTACGGCCCCACCAACCTGGCCCCCATCATCAAGCGGGTGCTGGCCCCCGTCAGCGAGGAAGAGGACACCGGGCAGCCCATGGTGAGGGGGCGGCGGCGTGGGGGCAGCGGGGAGGGGGGGCTGGATGCAGAGTTGGGGACCCCC